TCTATCACCATGTACTAAATTAAAATCTAAATGGTCAAAGATCTGAATATTAAAACAAAAACACCAAATCTATTGGAAGACAAATTGGGTAGAAACCTTGGAGACATAGGAGTAGGTAGAGAATTCATGAACAGGACTCAAACCGCACAGGAAAAACTTCCCAGAATCAATAAATGGGACCACTTCTTATTAAAATGTTTCTGCATGTCAAAAGAAATCTCTAGCATAGTGAAAAAAACCCACAAACTGGGAAAAGATTTTAGTGAACTCTCTCTCACACAAGGGACTCTTGTCTAAAACATATAAAGAATTAAAAAAACTCAGACCTCCAAAATTCAAAGATCCAATCCAAAAATGGGCATCTGAGATGAATACACAATTCTCAGATGAAGAAATGCAAATGGCAAATAAATACATGAAAAAATGTTCATCATCATTAGTCATTAGAGAAATGTAAATTAAAACCACACTGAGATACCATCTCGCTCATGAAAGAATGGCCAGGATCAAGAAAACCAGCAACAAATGCTGGAGAGGCTGTAGGGGAAAAGGAACTCTCCTGCACTGCTGGTAGGAGTGTAGACTGGTACAGCCTTTGTGGAGATATGTCTGGAGATTTCTCAAAAAGTTGGGATTGGAAATCCCATTTATTCCAGCTATTCCACTTCTAGGTATATTCCCAGAAGAACTGAAAGCATCATACCACAGTGATATATGTGCACCTATGTTTATAGCAGCACAATTTGTAATTGCCAGATCTTGGAAACAACCCAAGTGTCCATCAACTGAGGAATGGATAAAAAAGTTTTGGTATTTCTATATAATGGAGTATTATTCAGCTATAAAGAAGGATCACATTGGGATATTTATCAATAAATGGGCGCAGCTTGAGACCATACTCATAAGTGAAATAAATCAATCTCGCATGTGTGAATACCGAATAGTTTCCCTAATGTAAGTAATGATTCAAATATGTAAAAATATGTGGTAATCATGATTCCCCATTATGTGGCCTTGAAGCCTTATGAAGTTTTCACTCATTAATTAGAAAGGCTTTATTCTGGGCTTCTTGATATGGAAATATTTGAAGCTAGAGTATATGAAGTTTTATCCAAATATTTCAAGGAAAAAGACAGATACAATGGTAACTACTATTAAGTCGGTTTATATGGTTGTGAAGCACTAGGTTGCTGAAACAGTCATGATTTGACCTCTATTGTTATATTGTTATGTCCTGTTTTATCTCAATCTACCCCTTATTCTTTTAAAAAATTATTTAGTCATTTCTTATGTTTGTCTTACTTAAGGGAAATAATTAAAAAATTAGGATATATAAATAGTAACTCTTTTTGATTTCCTATTAACTTGTTTTGAAGTCCTGTAATACTCCCACGATCTTGTTTTGACTGATTAGACTCTATTCCATTCTGCATGATAGTATCAAGTCTGAGGATATAGGCAACTACTTTGAAGACAATAAGATTCACTAAGATGCCCATTCTGGTTTGACTATTGCCTCTTTGGAAGTCCTGTAATGTTTACAATGCCTAAGTTTTATTGGTCTTGTTCTCTACTGTTTTGTCCAACTTTATAATATCTAATGAGATAGACAATTCTTTTTAAGAAAACAAGAGACAACGTTGATAACCATTGTTGATAACCTTGTACTCTGTTCTACACCATGTGCTATGTCTATCCTTAGTTTTGACTGACAGCTTTGTTTTGCCATATTTGACTGTATTCTCCCCCCCCCCAAAGAAAGTAATAAGCACTAAGGAGTAATAAAATCCAGAATGTGTACATTTTGTTGTAAAAAAGAGAGGGAAAAAAAATACAAAGATCTCTAAAGGAAATAACAGCAAGTGTGTTTAGGGGTGTTAAATAGCTGACTATATCAATGTTTTTGGATCATTGAACACAGCTGTTTGCAGTCTCCATGTTTGAATGTCCACCTTTTATGCTTTGATACTGTGATTTGAGCAACTATTTTCAAGATGATAATATGTAATCTATTAACAGGTGATTTCTTACTGTTATGTGTTTTTTTGTAGTTCTGTATTATGTGTACCCTTACACCGCTTTGTTTTGTTTTGTGTTTTTCTCTTTTTCCTCTTAAATAAAAAAAAGAAAGTTTTATAAAGTGAAAATTATAATACACTGAAAAAGGAAATTGAAGATGATCTCAGAAAATGGAAAGACATCCCTTGCTCATGGATAGGAAGAACAAACATTGTGAAGATGGCCATTCTCCCAAAACTGTTATACAGATTCAATGCAATCCCAATAGAAATACCATCAACATACCTTATAGATCTAGAGAAATCACTCCTAAATTTCATCTGGAACCAGAAGAGACCTAGAATCGCTTAGGCAATTCTAGGCAGCAAAGACAAAGCAGGAGGCATCACTATCCCTGACTTGAAGTTATACTACAAAGCAGCAGTAGTAAAATCAACATGGTATTGGAATCAAAACAGAGTTGAAGATCAGTGGAATAGATTAGAAGATACATCTACAACTACAAACACACTCAACCACCTTATCTTTGATAAAGGAGCCAAGCAGGTTCACTGGAAGAATGGCAGTCTCTTTAATAAATGGTGCTGGAAAAACTGGCTCTCCATTTGCCGAAAACTAAAGCTAGACCCATGTCTATCACCATGTACTAAATTAAAATCTAAATGGGTCAAAGACCTGAATATTGAAACAGAAACACTAAATCTATTGGAAGACAAATTGGGTAGAAACCTTGGAGACATAGGAGTAGGTAGAGAATTCATGAACAGGACTCAAACCGCACAGGAAATACTTCCCAGAATCAATAACTGGGACCACTTCCTATTAAAAAGTTTCTGCATGTCAAAAGAAATCTCCAGCATAGTGAAAAGAAAACCCACAAACTGGGAAAACATTTTAGTGAACTCTCTCTCACACAAGGGACTCTTGTCTATAACATATAAAGAATTAAAAAAACTCAGACCTCCAAAATTCAAAGATCCAATCCAAAAATGGGCATCTGAGATGAATACGCAGTTCTCAGATGAAGAAATGCAAATGGCAAATAAATACATGAAAAAATGTTCATCATCATTTGTCATTAGAGAAATGAAAATTAAAACCACACTGAGATACCATCTCGCTCCTGAAAGAATGGCCAGGATCAAGAAAACCAACAACAACAAATGCTGGAGAGGCTGTGGGGAAAAAGGAACTCTCCTGCCCTGTTGGTGGGAGTGTAGACTAGTACAGCCTTTGTGGAGGTCTGTCTGGAGATTTCTCAAAAAGTTGGGATTGGAAATCCCATTTATTCCAGCTATTCCACTTCTAGGCATATTCCCAGAAGAACTGAAAGCATCATACCACAGTGATATATGTGCACCTATGTTTATAGCAGCACAATTTGTAATCACCAGATCTTGGAAACAACCCAAGTGTCCATCAACTGAGGAATGGATAAAAAAGTTTTGGTATTTCTATACAATGGAGTATTATTCAGCTATAAAGAAGGATCACATTGAGATATTTATTAATAAATGGGCGCAGCTTGAGACCATACTCATAAGTGAAATAAATCAATCTCGCATGTATGAATACCGAATAGTTTCCCTAATGTAAGTAATGATTCACATATATAAAAATATGTGGTAATCATGATTCCCCATTATGTGGCCTTGAAGCCTTATGAAGTTTTCACTCATTAATTAGAAAGGCTTTATTCTGGGCTTCTTGATATGGAAATATTTGAAGCTATAGTATATGAAGTTTAATCCAAATATTTCAAGGAAAAAGACAGGCACTATGGTAACTACTATTCTTTAAAAAAATTATTTAGTTATTTCTTATGTTTATTTTAATTAAGGGAAAAATTTAAAAAATTAGTATATATAATAGTAACTCTTTTTGATTTCCTATTAACTTGTTTTGAAGTCCTGTAATACTCCCACGATCTTGTTTTGACTGATTAGACTCTGTTCCATTCTGTGCGATAGTATCAAGTTTGAGGGTATAGGCAACTACTTTGCAGGCAGTAAGATTCACTGAGATGCCCATTCTGGTTTGACTATTGTCTCCTTTGGAAGTCCTGTAATGTTTACAATGCCTAAGTTTTATTGGTCTTGTTCTCCACTGTTTTGTCCAACTTTATAATATCTAATGAGATAGACAATTCTTTTTAAGAAACAAGAGACAACGTTGATAACCATTGTTAATAACCTTGTACTCTGTTCTACATCATGTGCTATGTCTATCCTTGGTTTTGATTCACAGCTTTGTTTTGCCATATTTGACTTTATTCTCTCCCCCCCCAAAAAGTAATAAAAACTAAGGAGTAATAAAATCCAAAATGGGTAAATTTTGTTGAAAAAAAGAGAGGGAGGAAAAATAAAAAAGAGCTCTAACGGATATAACAGCAAGTGTGTTTAGGGGTGTTAAATAGCTGACTATATTAATGTTTTTGGATCATTGAACACAGCTGTTTGCAGTCTCTCTGTTTGAATGTCTACTTTGTATTCTTTGATACTGTGATTTGAGCAACTATTTTTAAGATGATAATATGTAATCTATTAACAGGTGATTTCTTAGTGTTATGTTTTTTTTTGTAGTTCTGTATTATGTGTAACCTTACACTGCTTTGTTTTGTTTTGTGTTTTTCTCTTTTTCCTCTTAAATAAAAAAAAGAATATTGAAGCACGTTTCTACCATAAATTATCCTCACAAACCAAGGTTTTACTGAATTTACTTAGTATATTTTTTGATTGTAGATAATGTGTACACCAACATGAGTATTGGTTTGTGAAGAATTTATATATTGAGGGTAGCATACCTCTCTTACACTTTTCTCTTTTTTTGTTTCTTGTATCAAAGATCTTGTATCATAGATGGTGCTGTTAAAAAAAATCAGTGCTCACAGTTTTTTTTTTAAATGAAAATTTCTCCTCGGAAGTGTCCAGCAGGCCTTCTGGTTCCAGGTTTTCGTCTCTCTCAAGTAATCATTCACTTACCTTATTGGGTAAAGCTGCATCAATCTCCTGCTGCAATTTCTTCTGTATATCAGGGTGAGTGGCCAATTCATACATAATGAAGGAAAGGGAATTGCTAGTAGTCTCATAACCAGCCAAAATAAAATTAGCTGATTGGGCTGTGATTTCCACATCAGACAGAGCTGAAAGGAGAGGAAAGACTTTCAGGTAAAGTAGAACTTACCAGTTTAGCTGAGGAAAAACCCATGTGAACCTGCTAAACCCTAGGGAAAAACTTGGGGAAACAACTCAGAGTCACACAGCAAATGGATTTCACTGTGTTATTTGTCTCTCTTACAAACCAGAAAATAGGCAAAATAATTTTATTCACCTGTTCAATGTTTACTCTGCTCTTGACCACCTGCTTTCCATTATGCCACCATGTTCACCACTACGGCTCAGAACTTCAATACATGGTGCTTCAGTCTAACACACTCACTCTTATTATATGCTTTGGATAATTATAAATTAGCTTTTAATAATACAACACAAAACTTTAAAAATCTTAGTGAAACATGTTGGAAAATTCTCAAGGTAGCTTTCAGACTGAGGCTTCACTGTATGCAAAATTAAAGGATGTTTTATCTAATCCTGTATGAGAGAATTCAAGAAAACAATATTAGCCTACAAAGAAACTCTTGCAACTCAAAGTATAATCTATGAGTCAGAACCACTTGGGAGCTAATAGATAACACAGAGGCCATAATCTCAACTCAGAACTACCAAAGTAAAAATATGGACTTTTAAAATGTGTTGATTCATGCCTTGGATGGGGCATTAGATAATGAAGTACCACTGGCAACAGACTTCAGAATAGGTTATTATACAGTGCACTGGTGATTGACCAAAAGTCTAAAGAGTGGCATTAAAGTAGGAGAAGGAAGAATGTGTGGATAGAAAGGATTTGGGCATGAAATGTATGAAAATGGCAACCAATGAGTTACATTAGCACTATGTATTCAAAGTAGATTCATTGTCTTTCTATTCTCAGCAAATATCCTTATGGTAAGACACTGGCCTCACTTTCAACTTTATCATGACATAGGTCATCATCATCATGCAATAGTCTATTTATTTCTTTGTTTAGTCCCTTTTTGTAACTGGAACACTGAAATAAATATGTTGTCTACTACACCACTCATAGATTTAAAAATTAAACCCAGTATAAAATATATCTTTGAAAATCTACCCAGTTCTGATTTTACAACTATCACTTCTCTCCTGTTATAGTAGGAAAAACCAACTAATCAAATAGGTCCTCCTAGGTAGCACAAAACTGTGTGAATGAAACTTGAATGCATACTCAAAATTTTGAGTACTGCAATGCACTGTGGCAGTATGCAGCCATTGGCTAATTAAATTGAAAGTGAAATACTTTAAAATTATATGTTATAGTTCATTACTTCATTGACACCAGCCAAAGGCCAAGCACACAATACTAAAATTATCTAGCAGGATTTTTTTTTGTCTTTTAGGTCTTGCTCTGTGGTTCAGGCTGGCCTTGGACTCACTTTGTAGCACAGGTTGGTCTCAGACTTGCAATGATCCTCCTGTCTCAGCCTCCCAAGTGCTGGGAATACAGGAGTATGCCACCACACCCAGCTTCTAGCAGTTATTTTGAATACTATAAAAAGAATATTTCCTTTACCAATGGTTTTAGTAAAGCAGAGACAGACAGAAACTTAGAGATAGAGAGATAGAGACATAGGGTCAGAGACAGAGACAGAGAAGGGGGACTATTGTTAGAAAGAAAGATGGATAGACTCAGATGAACATACTGATATATACAGAGTGGTGTACTATCAGATCATCTCTGTTCTAGACTCCTTTGCTAAAGATTCAGGACTTTTGGAAGAGTGGTCACATTATTGGTAGTTTGAAATTGACTATGATAGGGCTGGGGATTTAGCTCAGCGGCATAAGTGCCTGCCTTGTAAGCAGGCAGTCGTGAGTTCGATCCCTGGTACCAATAAAAAAACGAAAAAGACCAAAAAAAAAAAAAAGAAATTGACTATGATAGAATTATTGAAATTATGTTAAAGAAATAAGTTATTAATCAGAAAATTTCAGTGTGAGAAGAGAGAGAGAAAGGAGAGAAAGACATTTTATATCACTGTTTATGGAGTCATAGAAATTGTTCTTTGCAAATATTTTTCATTTTCTTTAGCTTTGTCCAATTAGAATGTAAAAGCAAACCAAAGTCACAGTAGATATGATCACACTGCCCCACTGTCTTGGTTTACTTTTCTCTCACTGCTAAGACAAAATACCTAACACCCCAAATTAAGGTAGGAAAGGTTTATTTAGCTCACACTTTGTGGAGGTTTCAGTCCATCATTGACTGGCTCCAAGACAGGGTGGCATGACAAGGGGCAACAGTTTATAGTAACAGGGAGCAGCAAAGCCACAAAAGCAAAGAGGGGAGAAAAGCAAGTTTCTTTTCCTTTCTTACATTGTAATCAGGCTACACCCCTTGGATGGGTGCAGCACTTACACCATCTGGGTGCCCTCCTCTTGCACAGGCTGAAGATGTTTACAAAACAAGGACCCTGGCTCCCTGCTGAGTCACTTAGTTACTTCTAAACTTTTCAAATTGACACAATGTATCAACCATTATACCCACTAAAAAAAGAAAAAGAGCTCTAAGGGATATAACAGCAAGTGTGTTTAGGAGTGTTAAATAGCTGACTGTATCAATGTTTTTGGATCATTGAACACAGCTGTTTGCAGTCTACCTGTTTGAATGTCCACCTTGTATTCTTTGATACTGTGATTTGAGGAACTATTTTCAAGATGATAATATGTAATATACTAACAGGTGATTTCTTACTGTTATGTTTTTTTTTGTTTGTTTTGTTTTGTTTTTTTGTAGTTCTGTATTACGTGTACCCTTACACCGCTTTGGTTTGTTTTGTGTTTTTCTCTTTTTCCTCTTAAATAAAAAAAAAATTACTTAGTGTATGGAAAGCACCCTTCACACTACTTAAAAGGACTGTTAGAAAAGTCTCAGAAAATCTAAACAAAAAGTGAGAAAAACTGCATGGATATGTATAGGTGAGTAAGTAATAGTGGGAAGAATTTATGACTCCCCAGTATTGGGTATTGACATATAAACATACAAGAAATTATGGAATTCAAAATTTGTCATTTTTCACAGTTTTAACTGGAATGCTTTTAGTAAAAAACCGTATATGGATGATAATAGCAGTGTGTCAGAAATGAAGAAGAAGGGAATGTTTCTGCAGTCAGAAAGATTTACCTCAGGACCTATTATTTTGGAACAAAAAGAAAACTAAACTTTTATGCTATTTGACCTGGAGAATATTCTACAAATTTCTAGTAAGCAACGTGCCTCTGAGTGAATGCCTAGAAGCAATTCTCAAGGGAGACATTCTGGTTTATTTCTTGCAGGTAAGACTGAGAATTAGCACTTGTTCAGATATAGGTGAACCAGGACCTTCATGAATTACATCCATAAAACGGTTGCTTGTAGGCATCCTTCAAGGTTAGAATGTACTCAGTCTCATGTTTACTGCAAAGTGCATCAGGGTTTCATGTGTAATATCCAAGTATATGTTTTTAGTCATTTGACACATGTTCTCCTCTGACTGCAAACTCTTACACAATTCCCAAACAGGCTTTTTCTCCCTCTTGGATCCCCTTCCTATAGACCATGAAACACTGTTGGTTACCTTTATAGGATTCTGTGTCTTTGGAATTCTGGGAATTCATCATCAACTGAAGAAAATCCACCCGGTGCTTGAAGATAAAAGAAAATATTCAAAGATAGAAGGTTAAATATGAAGTTAAAAATAATCCAGTACTTGCAGTACAGAAGTTAATCTTCCTTCTTTGCATATGGATCTTTCAAGCCCTGAGGTCTGGCTGAGCTTGACATCAATCTCTAAATTTTGGAGAGCAGGAGTTTTCTCTGTATGAATCCAGCTTTTGAGTTCAATAATACTTTGTTTCTGCCCTCCCCAACTTCCTGATCAGAGAGTTGCCTACAATTCCTGTCTGACCTATTTGTTCAGGAAGCAATCCCACACTTCAAAAATTTTGTATATTACTGCTTTAATTTTTTACCTGTAGTCCCATAGATTAATACTCTGCCATATGCAGATCTTAGAAGCAAGGCCTATATAGTTCTCAGTGACACCTGATATATGTGCAGTTCTCCCTTTCTGATTTTCAGGCTCCACAGCCACGTAAAGACTAAGGTGAATTTCTTAGCTTACAATTTCAATATGCAGGGAATAACTCTGACTATTGCAGGGCAGGAAAGGTGCAAATTTAATACAGCCAAACTGCAGTGATAATAATTTCCATTGGAAAGTGTGTTTAGTAAGTGGCCTGAATTTGAAAGAATTCTTTACCAATATAAGATCTTGGGATTATGGGTACCAATAAATATAATTGGTAAGCACTAATAGTTATCATTTGACAGTTTGTTGAAACAAAAAGTCCTGTTTATTTTAAGAATACTTACATCAGAAAATTCTTACGCTTCTTTTTCAGTATTGAACTGTCTCTCTGATTCCCGCTCATAACAACTTCCTAAACATCATGTTCTTCATTCTTTATAAAAATGCCTATTATCTTTATCTACATTCAACAAGACAGAGGACATATGCTGACCCTAACCGTACAGCCTAAAACATTACCAAATGTCAACACGTTTATTTTACTACCACTACATTTTACCTTTTGGTTACTTTCCAGGCGATTTTCTATAGCTTTTTTTACAAAGTCAATGAAAAATTCTGTAGAATCTTTTGCAAATAAGGATATACCTAACATCTCATATATTGGTATAAGGAAGGAAAAGATACCTGAAAAGGAAAGGAAAAAAAGACTTTAGTGAAAATTCAAAATTTGTTTGCTTGTATTGATATTCTGAAATGATTAGAAGAATAAAAGATGTTAGCTTAAACTGGGAGTCATTTTTTTAACTTTTGCTTGAAATCCTCCAAGATTCTTATTCATCTGGGGCACATCACACAAAGATTCACTGTCATACTGAGATTAGTGGCCCTCTCTATAGCTTTGGAGTGACCAAAGAAGTCTGATTAAATTTCCTGAAATTTCATTTTATTGTGAGCTGTGATAGACTTTTTGATGCTGTAAATACAAGTATGGCTCAACAACGAGTCACAAGTATAGAACCTGTAGCACATGTCCCCCAACTATGTACTTTGGAAGGAAGCCATATAGGTCAAGACAAAAATAGAATAGTGGAACTCACAAATGTTTGCAAAGTAATAAATAAAACATCCAATATAAGTAGTAGATGAAAGAAGAATTAAAATAATTTGAAGAGCATATTAAATGTGGAGAAGGTAAGGGAATATGAGCATGGATGGAGGAGATCAAAGGGAGGGAAAGAAATGGTAAGTAAAAAGAATCAAAGTGAAAATTTTTACAAACACACACAGCATTGTAAAATAGCTAATAAAAATTAGCAATAAAAAGAGAAAGAATTGAATTCATGTAAAAGAAAAGGAACTCCAAGTGTCAAGTAGTAATTTTATTGCACTAAGTAAAAATGAAAACATAATAGACCCCACTTCACAGATTGAGCATAACTAGCATTCAGAGGCAAATATATAGCTACATTTTTGTTTACGTTTCCATGTGTTTGCACTATGTTTTAAAAACATGTTTCCATGTGTTTGCATGAAGTTTGTACCATGTATCACTAAAATGACAAGAACATAAACTTAAAAGCATAAAGAACAGAGTAAGAAATACGAACTTTAAACTAATGAAATAAATAATAAAAATTAAGATAGTCATCACAGTTTATCAGTGGTAGAGCTGGGAGCTGCTGCAAGTTCCCCTACTTCCTATACAGAGCTGTCTAACATGAGGCTGCTGTCATCAGAGCAAAAATTTACACAGCCACACTTGAAAAGTCTAAATAATACATGTGAGGTATAGAGGACTCTCTTCTGTGCCAAAATCAGAAATCTATTCAAAAGGTCTGACTCTGGGGATTCCAAGTGAGCATGTTTCGCTGCCGCGCCTAGCCATCGGTGTGCAGAGGAGGGGCAGGGCGGATCTGGGGCGCCTGCATCGGCCTCTCCGTGTGTCTGGAGGACTGTGGATATCTCTGCAAGCAGGGAGGGATCGCAGGTTCCTGAGGCACCGCGGCCTGTGGTGAGTGCTCAGCACACTCTGCCCAAATCTCAGACTGTTCTGGACCCTCCAGGCTTCCGGGTGCAGTGAAGTGGAGAGGTGGGTTTGAGGCCTCTACATCCGCCTCCCCATCCTGGCTGCACTTGGAGAACTGCTGAGCTTCCGACGGGTGGGCGGGCCCACACTATCCCCGGAGCCCAGCCTGTTTCGCTGCCGCGCCTAGTCATAGGTGTGCAGAGGAGGGGCTGGGCGGATCTGGGGCACCTGCATCGGCCTCTCCATGTGTCTGGAGGACTGTGGATATCTCTGCAAGCAGGGAGGGATCACAGGCTCCTGAGGCACCGCAGCCTGTGGTGAGTACCCTAACCCGGCTGCAATTGGAGAGCTGTGGAGCTTCCAAGGGGCAGGTGGGTGCACAGTGTCCCTGAGGCTCAGCTTGTCTGGAACTGTGAAGTTCTGAGCAGGCAGAGGAGGGCCATTGGTTCTGCAGGCCCAGTGGCTTGGGGTAGTGTGGTGCCAGAGTCTCAGTAACTGCAAACATAGAAGGGGATTTTCAACAGATCCTGAGGAAGCTTTCAAATAACACGTGAAACACAGAAATATAGAAAAATGACAAAATGAAAGACCAAATTACAACCCCAAACTTCTAGCCCATCTCAAGAAACCCTAGGAGCGATGTATATAGAAGAAAATATATGCCATCCACCTCAAATATCGGACACAATAGCCACCGAAATTGACAAGCAACTCCAGGAAGCTTTAAAGAAATTCAAACTCAAAATAATCTCCCAGATAAAAGAAGAAATGATAAAAGAAATGAAAGAGATTCTGAATATATCTAAAGAAAACACAGATAAAAAATTGGAGGAACTAAAAAAAATTAAGATAGTAAAAATAAAAGCTGTTTCTTTGAAAATCATCAAATGTCAAAACATTACATAGATTGAAAGAGAATGGAAGCTGAAATAGCATTCATATTAAAGACCATTATTTATTCCTCTTCCTCTTCCTCATCCACCTCCTCCTCCTCTTCCTCCTCCTCTTCTTTGTCTTCTTCGTTGTCTTCTTCTTCTTATTCTTCTTCTTCTTCTCCTCCTCCTCCTCCTCCTCCTCCTCCTCCTCCTCCTCCTCCTCCTTCTTCTTCATTCTCTTTTTCTACACACCATGGATCCAGTCTATGACCTCACACTTGCCAGGCAGATGCTATGCCACTGAGCTATGTCTTAGGTCTCACAGTTATTTCTGACATTTTTAAAACTAAAAATATTTCATGGAACTATATTAATAATTATGTTACTACAAAACTAAAAAATCTATTCAACTGCAAATTTTTAATAGATTAAAATGCAGAATCTGACTAACTAAAATAACTAGAAAATATGTCTAGATGTGTAATACATAAAAAATTTAATATCTAGTTAAAAATCCATGAAGAAAAGTTCATGATTATAAGGTTTCAATGGTGAATTCAAAAACATTTTTAAGGAAGCACTAGCACAGTTTGTTTACAAACATTTCCTCAGATTAGAAACCATGTCCAAATGCATTATATGGGTGTAACTGGACTTCTCTGATACTAAAAACAAGAGAAAAAGTCCCAAAAACCATGCTAGAGACAAACATATTTTACAATTTAAATGCACAAATTATCAACAAAATACTAGAAGTCAAAATCCAATAGTATATAAAAAAAAATTAGGTGGGCATGGGTATACCCCAGTGATCCCAACACTGTGGGAGGGTAAAATGGGAGAATCACAAGTTCCAATCCAGTTTGAGTAACTTAGTGACTTAATAAGAATCTGTAACAAAATGAAAAAAAAAAAAACAATTAAAGGCCTGGAGATGTGATGTAAGTGCAAAGTTCCTGGGTTCAATCACAGAATTATACACTAAAAGTTGTAGGGAGTGGTGTGACTGACCCATTGCTGTCTCCCCACCTCTCCCTCTTATGGGCACATAATGTGCCTACATTAGCCATAATCCTCTCCTACTCACGTCACGTACACGGACGTGATGATGACCCATCAGAGATCACCCCATAGCCTTTTCCTGTCCCACCAGCCTGCCCCTGCCCTATAAAAGCAGTGACCACTTTATCAATAAATGAGGCTTGATTGGACTTCCTCAACTTGTCTCCGTCTCTCTGTCTCCTACCCTGCATCTGTCAATCCTCGTTCCTTCCCTGGAAACTGCCCCACAGATCTGGGTTGACCAGTGGGCCGGGTCAAATGGCGCCCATCGTGGGGCTCCTGGCATGAAGGGCTCAATGAGGGAGCCATCCTGAGACACGCAGGTAAAAGTGAAAGTAATAATTTTGTGACCAGTGCTACGCGGGAGCCTGCCATGCTGCTAGAGTCATGGTAAGTGGACTGCGATCCTTTCCCTTTTTTTCCGGCATGGGTCAGGCATTAAGTGATCATAAATGCTTTGTGTCAGATTTAAGTAAAGCTTTAAAGACAAAAGGGATAAAGGCTAAAGAAAAAGATTTGTTGCAGTACTTTCAATTTATTCATAAGGTTTGCCCTTGGTTTCCTTTAGAGGGCTCTATTGATGCAAAAAGATGGGAAAGAGTAGGAGATGCATTAAAAGATTACTATTGGGTCTTTGGCCCTGAAAAGGTCCCGGTTACAGCCTTTGCCTACTGGAACCTAATCTCGGAGCTACTTACACAGAGCTGCCGAGACCCTCAAATTGATGAAACAATCACCCAAGGTGAAGCCGCCTTATGCGCTTCCATTTTACCAACATTGCTCCCTTCAGGAGATGAATCTAAACCTTCTTGCCCCTCTGATGAGTCAAATGATATGTTTAAAAAGCCCCAAGATAGTGGCTCACTACCATCCGAGCCCCTACCACCTGAGACCCACCACAACTCTTTATATCCCAACCTCACTCCTTTACAAGAGGTCGATTGGAAACAATTAGCAGAAGAAGCTAGCTGACATCATTCGGACCCTATCGTAGCCCCCGTTTCCATAAAACCTCCCCCTCACTACAATAAGACACCCACATTTTCCAGCCCCTCTACTGTGCTTCTCGACTTAGAGATTCATGACTTGCAACAACAGGTCCAATTAGAACAAGAAAAACAAAGACTCATTCTGCAACTCCAAACTTTACGGATGAGCCATTTAGACACCACCCGTAAGATGGCACCACCTTGTAAAATGGCGCTTGCCTCACTTCTGCCACATCAAGGTGGGCCCCTCCCCAAAATGGCATTTCCGGTGATGGAAACAAATGTACCTCCCCAAGATGGCGCTGCACAGCTGCAAGACGGCGCTGCGCCGCCAGCTCCACAGGTCATTACCAAGCCAGACAGATTGTAAGAGACTGCCCATCCTGTGCTATCCATCTACCCATGCAACACTTAGGGATTAATCCAAGAGGCCTTGTTCCCAATGCCCTGTGGCAAATGGATGTCACTCATATCCCAGAATTTGGCAACCTAAAATATGTCCATGTGAGCATTGATACATACAGTGGCTTTATCTTCACCACCCTCCAAACCGGAGAGGCTACCAAACATATCATTGCTCACATGCTGTCAGCTTTATCAGTGCTTGGAAACCCTCATCAACTTAAGACTGACAATGGTCCTGGATATACTAGCACTTCCTTTGCCTACTTCGGCACGTGCCTCAACATCCTCCATACAACAGGAATACCTTACAATCCACAAGGCCAAGGT